AAGCCCTGAGACCCCGAGTGGCCTAACCGCATAAGGCCCCGATAGGTTAGGCGTGGTATTGAACCGGACGACAACAGAGCTGCCTAACGCCATATATATATATATATATATATATACATATTCATATATATTTATATACCGTCACCTAAAGAAGCTGGTTCATTTAAGGGCTCCTCATTGTACCTCGACAGATATTGTGCGGGTAGTAAAAGGGCACCTTAAATGAATTTTACATTGATGCCAGTGTATCTTGCCTAAATTGCTATCTTCAATACGAAGAAAGGCATAGATCAGTTAAATGATTCATTTTGGATGGTTAGTGGTAGGCGGACAACTATATTCTTGTTTCCGTTATTCTTAATGTTAAAAATGTCTTGATTTTGTTAACCGGAATGCTCTAAATGTTCGAATAAATGTTTCTTTGAGGGCCTGGTAATAGTGGACTGACCAACCAAGTTCGATGAATTTGGACAGCAGTTTAACAAATGGCAAAGTGTGCGGTGAGTCAGACCCAGAATAACACGGAGCCCTAAACAACCAGATGCGTAGGACAGTCGTCCGGTGGAAGTTGATTAATGGAAAGAGTCTATCCCACGGTGTTGACGCATCATTATAAACATTATAAATTGGTCAATGTCTATTCATTCAGCGATGATGTAGAGGCAATTATTCAGAATAATCAGAAACCTGAACTTTGTGATAAGCAGTAAAAGCGCTCAGCCGTCTGCAATGATAACACAGAGGGTGTGCTTCATGTGGATGCCCACTGGTGGTTCGGGAAAACAAACTGGATGTCACTTTAATGAATGAATGTGTGTGCCAAAAGTAGCGAAACATTAGAAAAGGTTTGCTTCTGGTTGAAATCTTTATATGAGGTAGCCGTTATTGGACTGGTAAGCCTAATTTTTTTTAGATTTTAGACCCTAGTTGTATTTGTGCACATCTTGAATTTGGATGGTCACTGCACTACAACGTGACGAGTTATTGTGGTCTGCAAAAGAATATGTAGAGCCTGAAAATTTCTAAGAACATGTTTCACAAGGGCAAAATATTGCTATAGTCTACGTTCAAGTTCTCGTTTTGTATATACCGCTCTTGAGGTGTTTGTTTTAGTTGGATTATATACTCCTCCACCCCGCTTGCCTGGCGTAATGCTTAGCCGCTATCACCGACTTACTTTGAATCCCATGATCTGAGGTTCTAGCCTCACCAACACCTTTTATGCAGCTTTGCTCTCGTCTGGTACATTACCATGCCTAACCTAGCGGGGCCTTGTGTGATTAGCAACTGTAAGTCCCCTGGGCTCAGGTTACCGGTTTTCATCATTGAACAGGAGTTCTTCGTGACTATAGGGTTCACCAAGTTTGCCATTCATCACACTCAGGTATGTCATAGAAAAACAGTCAGGTTTATATCGTTTCAGACCAAGTCAGATTTCCGTACTAAGGTTGATAAGGTGGGATACTGGCAACATATATGGGTGGTGCTAAATTCTGTTCGATCAACCGTCTGGTTATCCGATGTTTTGGATCGATAAAGTCGCACTGTTGATGGGGCCCAACCAGGTTGCTTCCGAGCACGTCCGTTTACGTGTTCAAAACATATTGTATAAAGCTCTATGTTCTTTAGGCTAATGAGTTGCGGTCAAATTCGACGACATTGACAGTTCAAAGATGGTAAATTTCCCTAACTTTCCGTTATTTTTAGAGTAGAATTATAAACCTGAAGACGAATTCATATGGAGTGGAGTTAAACTAGACAAACAACTCATTTGTGTTGCTTTTAGTCTTGTTATAATCCGAGAAGTGATCAGAAAACATTAAGACAAACAACGAATTGTATTTGCTTTTCTTAGTGGAATGCGTCCTCAGCCTCACTTCTTTTCATTTCTGTTTATACTGTAATCAACCTCTTCCGTCCCGTTATTCTATCTCCATAGTTGCTCCAGTCATTCAACCTTTTCCATCCCCGGTCATTCGGATTTTGGAAAACGGGAATCTCTCTGTGAATTGCCTGGTTCAAGCCAAACCTACCGCTACTGTCCGATGGTCTGACGGTCAAAAACGAAATGTGTCAGGTGAGTTCCGGGTTCATAATCGGGTTCGAGTACACTTGCATGCGAGCGCTTCGGTACACTTGTCATTCGGCTGAAAATGAAAAACGTCTTTCATTCTCTACTGATGTGTTACAAATTAGGGCAATCTAATATAGTGTTCGAACATATCAAACCGAAATCCATTCAATCTACTCGTCGTTGTATATTTCTGGCTGTGCGAGTCGCAGTCATGCATGTCACTCCAGCATTGATACGAAAAGGAGAGATCATTGCTCATACAGGTTTTTCATATCAAAGGATGAGATCACTTTGTTGAAAAGAAGAAAATGTAGGAAACCCTTGTAAAACAAAATTACCGACTTCAGATAAAGGTGGTGCGATTAAACTCCACATAGTAATGTAACGTGGAACCAGATTGAAACCAATCGGCCCGGACCGCCGAAACTTCGGTTATCGTTTGGAATTGAGTCCATGGTAAACAACCATTGCTCCAGGTGCTCCTTGTGGCGAGTCGAACACAGGGGTTTCGGATGGCAACAGTCGTTTGCACATACCTACAATTTCACGAATCGTGTTGGTGGGAATCGGGTAGCAATATTTCTGAGAAATTTGCTCGGATTTACAGAGTTTTCTCAAAGAAAGCCTTCAGCGCATTTCAAGATACCTTAAGCTTAGTGATCGTCGTCGAGTTCCCTTTGCTCGCATCTCGTTGACGGTAGATTTGGGCAGAAGAATACCAATGCGATTGCTTTTTCGTGTCTATTTCGATTACTACCACATTTTAATTATTGTGTAATTTTAATTCCAAGTGGGTAATGGTGGATTTGGTCAAGTTTCAAAGGTAAATTCGTCGTGCATATAACAAATGAAGCGTGAACTGCAAAGCTAGGAAGCACTGAACAGCTGTTTCGACCTGGTTGGGTCTCATCAGCAGTGCGAATCCATCGACCTAACTGGGTATTGAACCCGGGATCTCACAGGTAGAACGCGCACATGCTACCCACTCGACCAATGGTAGTTGATCAGTACGAAACAGCAATCCAAAGCTTCTTAGCTTTTCAGTTCACGCTTCATTTGACATATTTACGACGAATTCACCTTTGTAATTTAAATTTGTTGGCTATTATTTCGACAGTATTTCGTGAATAACAATACATGGCATTTTTTTCTTCTTTCTGTTTAGGGTCAATTTTGCTATGAACAATCAAAAGAAGTATTTTCACTCTGCTTTATTTTTAACTTCAGTATTGAGAATAAGACTGTTAGTGCCGTGAAATCATACAAGTATTGATCAAACTCATGCAACATGGCCTTAAATTTGTAACTATATATTTCAGTTTCCAATACGGTACTGGTACTGGCACTGACTGTGCAGATTTTTGGCGACCACCACTCTTGAAACGCATGGGCAGAAAACCATACTTTGTCAATATAATGCTATATCTCGTGAGAGCTCATTATAGAAATGTTTAGGACCCCCTCATGTATTGTTCTCTGGATCGCATGTTCCATATTTGAATTCATTCAATTAATACCTAACAGCCCAAAATCAAAAACTTTCTGGTTGAGTTGAAGACCAACATACATCAGCTACCTCGTAAGTGGTCGTTAATGGCCAGGGTACGGCATGCATGGAAGGAAACGGAGAAATGCCATTTGATTCCCAAGCTGGTGGACCCCATATCAAAGAGATTGACTCAAGTGTTCAGTAAAGAAGAGCACACAGATTATTGACAAAATGACATAGCAATACCTATGTCACATCTCCTAGGCATTTTTATAAATAAATTCTCATGAATGTTTTCAACTAAGGAATCAATATTTTACAACCAATGCATCATAAACCGTATTTTACAAGGAGGAAACGTAATTAACGAAGTATGCGACCAACAAAGCACTTAGATAGGTGGTTACTACCACAGATATGTTGTGTCTTGTTTGGGGTAGTACCACATTCAGTCCCCTGAGTGAGGCTTAAAATGCAAGGTACTGGGAGGAAGTGATTCAACGAATGTTTTATATATACATGTATATCACGGGCTTGCGAGCAAGCATTCTGCTAATACAACAAAAATAATAATAAGGTCGGAGGATTGACGTACAAAACTGGGTGAAATAGGGATCGAACAAAACAAGGTGTATTAGGATAACGGGGATAGCAATCATTTTTGTTTCACCGTACAATGCTTGATATTTTCATGTGTTAGTTTATCGTTTTCATCGGGCATGGAATTTCAACAGACGGTCAGCGCAGTATTCGCACCTCTGATGTCTATTCTGGGTAATATCTCTTAGCGTTTCTAACCAACGGTCATCCTCATCCCTTGAGCCCCAACGTGGAAGGCAGGCTGCACCAATCGAAACCAGCTTCTTCATACCAGTACGCCACGTCATATTCTGACCATCGCGGAGCTTCTTCCAGTCCTGTCCATCAAGAGCAAAGAGAACACGGAAAGGTAGAAGAAAGGCAGACTCACAAAAAGTGGCTAAGCCACCGGAGTTGGTGTAGAGTAAATGCTTTTAGAGAGCGACTATTCACACCCAACAGACGACGACGAACCTCGTCATTGCTCAGCTGATGCTTCCACCAGACACGAGGAATGTTTCTGAGACAAATAGGAAAACGTATTATTTTATTTTATCTTTAGTTTTAATTCTTTGTATTGAATGAACAATGAAGCACTTTTAAGAAAAGACGAAACTGTCAGTTAGAAGTCAGTATTACCCAGGGAATGGGGGAAGTCAGGCAGCGTCCGTGGGATTTGATTACAAGTCTTCTGGGCGATAAGTTGGTGACCTCTTCCTCCTGACCACAACGTGACCAAACCATTCGTTTTGCTCCATGTGTAACCGGTGGAATGTTAAAGCAATCATTGGTATTCATAAATTTGTCTTCTGAAATAACAACCACGCCTTCAGTGATAGGTAAAGTGTGTAATTATGCAAAAGCTAAAAGAAAAGTTATTCAATAAACTTCCTTTATTTTATGAAAGAAATTTTTATTTCATATTTACATATTCAATTTACTAGATGAACAACCAGAATTTATTGATGAGTTTCTTCTGAGGCGGAAAGCAGTTTGATAGACTTGTATTGATATTTGTTTAAACTCTCTATATACCGGCGATTTCAACCGATCAAGTTCAACTTACGTAGCTTGGACAATTGTTTAGCTTCCGGAGCAGCAGAGACAATATGATATTTTAATTATGTGTAAAATCAGGCTTTATTTTATTGATTTGACAAACTGCTGCTAACTAGGTGTAGTATGATGCACAGTCTATAACCACTTGAATTCGGCTGAAATGGTGTATTAATATCCGGTAAGCCAAAAGTAGAATACTGATGAAAATTACTGTTTCAATCAGTTAATTCACGCATTCAAGCCAGAATAAATTGCTATTTTTCTGTTCACTCTGAATCCCGATGACCACGTCAAGACTCGTCACATCTGGTGCGGTATCATGTGACCCGCATGGGATCAACCGAATTTGTATGCATCGCCTCTAATGCGATTGGGCAAAGTCAACGCAGTTTCAAACTGGATCTACTGTGTAAGTGAGTTATGTTCTTATTACCTCTGGTAATCCACGGAACTAAAATTTCTCGTCAGGTCGGCTGCCGTCCATCATGGACAGGTTAGGATTTATAATAGCACAAAATGCTCTGCATTCATCTTTATTTCCGAATAAATGCTGTAAGTCGCAGTTAGTTCCTAATGGTGAGTGCATGTCAAAAGCTTATATTTATTTATTTTATTCATATTTATACATTATACCTCATTCAACTCACCATAAGAGGACTTCGTACCACTCATCGGTGGGGGCCTCAATAGTTACAACGCAACTGTATGCCTGTAGTTAAAAGTAATTAGTAGAGTTCTCAAGCCTATGAGTTAGGTTTGAAACCCGGAGACGAGATGTTTAGGTAAACCACCTCTCTATCCACCAAGATTGTCCAAGCTAGCTCTTAGCTTTCACTACTATTAGGGGAACCATATTTTAACAGATAGGGATCAATTTCCTACTACACTACTCCCACCAGGATCTAAATGAGACTAAGCAGAAAATTGGCCTCGAATAGTTTTTATCAACGTAATCCATAGGCAAAGATTGGGTTTATCATAACGAAACCACCATTGAGATGGCTGACCTTTAAAGCCTGATCAAGTACATATGGTGAGTAGGCCGGTGGTAGTTCGTTGTTAAAGGTCACCAAATTATCACTCCAGATCAAGCGTGTTCGAATCCCACATCCGCCGCCCGATTTTTCGTATTATTTGTTGTTTGACAGGACTTTGGTTGACAGAGTCCGCTTTCCTGAGGATTTTGTCACTGCATATTTAACATAAGGAGGTAAAAAGAAAAAAAGAAAAGAAATAAATAGAAGCGGTCAGTGTGGATAGCCAGAATTTCACTCATACAACAGAATAATTTACAAGTAGAACAAGTTTCCTTTTGAGCCAGTTGTTTTGCACAAATGCAAACACAGGGTAAGGGGATAATGTATCGTGAGTGAAGAGCGATGAAGCCCATATTACCTGTTCATTCTAAAGGCATCTGCCCGATCACTCATGTAAAAAATTGAAATGTGCTCTAAAACGTATCTTCATGTGAGACCGAACACAGAGCATATGACCATATAATTAATTTCCAACACTGTTCTTGCTTGACCGAATGTCTCTCAGATTCTGGCAGTCACAATAGGACCGTATAGAACAGTCATATTTGACCAGAACCCCTTGAACACAGTGTAAAATGAGCCATTAGACTCCTGGAAAGTCAATATCAATCGCGTAATCGAAACCACGAAATCCGGTCCACCTTGTGCTACGAACATCCTCGTGCCCATTTGGTTGATCTGAACAATGCATTCAAAGTAATGTTAAGTGATTGAATTCCTCGTCTAATCACTTCTTCTAGTAAACCAATGCTCATCATGTAACACAAGCCTCTGTGTTCACAAAAACAGGTGACCTGGATCTTTGAAATTACCAGGAATTGAGACGGAAGCCTCTAACCCCTCCATCACTATTTTATTAATATATACGTACACTTTGGACGTTTTGTAGATGAATTTCGCTAATGTTATTCATTCTAGTCCGCGCGGGAAATTAAACGATTTGTCTCCATCTCCATCTTGTCTCAGACCCACCCGTGGTCCAGGTTCGTTCCAATATAACTGCCAATGTTGGAGAACGCCTCGAAGTTTCCTGTCGCGTGGATGCCAATCCACCAGCCACAACCGTGTACTGGTCATTTACACCAACTGGTCATCATGGCTCATGGAACGAAACTTCACTTAGACAAAGGGAAGGAAATCAACTGTTATTAGCCAGTGTCCGCCGAGAACACGAAGGGATGTACACATGCCATGCGGTCACCGTACCGAAGCTGTCAAAACTGTTGAATTCGGAAAGTGTGCCAGATGCCAATCATCGCTGGTGGCAATCCAGGGCGACCAGTTCTGCTAGTCTTCGATTAGTCGTAAACTGTGAGTGTTTTGAAACAAATACACGTCTTGTTTAGTAATCACGGAAGGGGTTAATTATCTGAGTTTCCTGGTTGACGTACCCAGGTGTTTGGTCGTTCATCAAACTATGCATTTCGACTGTCAACGGTTCATCGCCAATGAAGGTAACACTTGACAATACGTGGTCAGAATGACCGCATCCCCATCACCAATCGCCTGGTTGCCTCTTCGTCGCACTCCTTCTTCCTGAATCGCATGGTTTCCGAGTACTCGATACTATTCGCATGTGGTTCGTTGTCCAGCAACTGTAACGCGTGTCCGCTTGGCCGGCGTTATCCCAGAGAGCTGGATCACCACACGGACCCCTGCATCTGCCCCGAATGGACTCATCCAACCAATCACAATTTTACCCCATTTCACTCTGAGGGTCAACACTGGCTGTGTTATTGTTCACCCCATGGGACTCAAAATCCCTCGTGGACCAGTCTTATAAAATCAGCATGTCACTCAACTTTGATTGATATTCCATAAAAATATACATACATATGGGCAGGGGTTGTCAGTGGGTTTGAGTGCCTTCGCGGTTAGTTTGCCCCCTCGGGCAGAGATGAGCATGTTTGACTGTTTGCCACACATGGCCGTAAACTGGGTTCAGTCATCTATGACTAGACTGACATATTATTGGGGATTCTGTCTCGCATAAGCGCAGCAAGAATTTAGAAGAGGTTCTATGTATAGCGGCTGCGAAACCTCACTTATAAACATATCTTAACTGTTGTCCCTTTTACTAAATTACTAAAACCAGGCTAGATTTAAGCCACTGAATATATAATCGAATGCGCCAGTTGTACACTATCGACTATATGTTACACTCGCTGTGTAAAAAAGTTATTTCCTTTTTCTTCTTCCTCACAGTTCACACAGTAATATTACAAATAAAAACACGATCGACTGTCACGTATACGAATAAAGTCTCTTTGCACACACACGCTTCCATAGATTCCACGACTGTGCTTTCCTATTAATACAGTAACTTTCTGTGGAAAAAGGAATGAAGCTTGGCGCACGTTGTGCGTAAGTTTTTATTTCTGTATGTCTTACTTACTATCAAGGAGAAAAGATTGATTTTACATTCTTTCTGACCATGTTCGTGTGCACATCTTTATTCAATGCTTGAGGAGGCAGCACAATTCGTGTTGAGTTAGTAACTTGACGTACGAACCATTTGGGGCTTTATCGTTTCTGAAACGAAACCAGAAGCACGACAATGCAAGGACGTGATGGCAACACTCAAACGTTCAGCAAATCAGTATCTAATTGTAATGTTGAACCGATGGTTTATGGAGGAATAAACCAGCAAGATATAAAAATATTCAGGTTCAGATGTTTCTACTATCACTTTATCGGACGAGCCAGTCCCTTTGAATTCCGTTTTTCCCGTTTAGATACACCAGGTCAACCTTCCGTCTCAATCTTATCGCCCAAACCAATTTTGGAAGGATCACTGGTTCGAATTCAGTGCTTGGTTAACAGTCACGGTAAGTTATTCTTTGAGTATCATGGAAATTATCTCATATTCATGTTTCCTAGAGTCGGGATTTCCTAAACCAAAATTTCATTGGATACGTCGATCACTACTGGAAATGCTTACTGGTACTCAAACTGTGCTCCAATCTCCGTCCATGCATTTGGAAACGCAAGCAAATGGATCTACTTTACGAATCAACTCATCCGTGGTGGCCGACTCGGGCATTTACACATGCTATGCGCGCAATGTTGTCGGGATTAGTCCACCGAGCGAAGTGTTACTAAGCGTTGAAGGTCAGTAGTAAATATCGCTCTCCGGATAATGATTTCGGTGATTTCAGCACTGAATGAAGACGTTCTCGGTATAAATCTGAATTGATGCACTGCAGTAGAAAAGCTCTACTTAGTATTAATTTCTGTATGCATGCATACATTCAGTCATAATGCAATTGTGTATCGATATGCTCTTGATTGTAGGTTCATTAAACCCGATTGAATCGGTGATACATCAGTAGCTAGTTGAAGACCCAAAGCGTCAATTTTCTTTTTTTATTTAATTCACTAATTTTTTGAGATATCTTGTATGTATTTTTTGTCTTTGTACATACTTGCAAAGTGCTTGTCATGTATGGAGAAAATATTTCGGGCAACTTGAACGGCAAGGTAAATCTATCATCAGAATGAGCGTATCCGACACTGAAGATATTCAGAACTTACCATGGAGCCCGTGAGACCTCGCTCACAATTTATTAGTAAAGAATTGCTACCAATATTTTACAAAGTCAGATGAACGATCATTTGTCTGAATGCATATGAGGAATGAATAATTTATAATAATTCAAATACACAGGATGAGTTGGGCCTAACGAAGCTTTATTAGGGAATGAAATTCGACTACTCTTATTCTCATAATTTTTGTCAAAATGCAAAATAGGATTACACAAAAGTACACACGATCATTAACTTTGTAGTGTTTTACCTTTCTATCATATTATGACAGGTAAATCTGAAGGTAGAATTCAAATGATCGTTGAGGGACACTTCGTAGGGTTTCTCTGTTCCTGCGTTATGAGTAACTATATCGATACTGGGTCTTGGTTTCTACAACTGAGCTTGTTTTGCACATGATTTGGACAGTATCGGATGATTTTATGCCGCAAGTAGCGCCATGAACGATAAAACGGTTCTTGGGAACAGAACAATCCATGCAGCTAGAAAAATGATACCCATATGTTTAGACGCTATTGAATTATGAATATTTCAAAGGGGAAATTCATCGTGTATATGTCAAATGAGGCGTGAACTGAAAAGCTGGGAAGCACTAGACAGCTGTTTCGACCAGTTTGTGACAGTTTCCAACCGAGTAATTACCCCGGAGGCTAGTGTTGAGATGAGCGAGGTCTGTGGCCTGCAACAAGCTCGCAAGGATGGGTTGTGCTACATCGTGTGAATGGAAAGTGTAAAACGGTCTGATCAGCTTCCCGGTGGCCGAGTGGGTAGCATGTGCTCGTTCTGCCTGTGAGGTCCCGGGTTTGATACCCAGTTTCCATCGATGGATTCGCACTGTTGATAAGACCCACCAAGGTCGAAAAAGCTGTCCAGTGCTTCCGAGGTTTTCAGTTCACGGTTCGTTTGACATATACACGAAGATTGCTCCTTTGAAGTTGGACCAAATCCTCCGTTTCTCGCATGGAATTGTGAATAATTGCAACGAACCATCAGGTTTGCATATATACGAGCTGCTGTTTGGCCCGGTTTCCATCGATATAATAATGATCGCCAGCGATCAGTCAGATTGCACTGTTCCGCTGGTTGTCCTATTTAAAGTGATTTAGGACGGGTTCCTATCACATAACAGCGACAGAAGTAGGAAGTGCTGAAAATGGTGAAGAAAAGCCTATGCATGTGTGCAAGTGAAAAAACAGTTGAATGTTGAACTGTAGAAATACGTACCTTCATTAGGTGATATTGGATTGAGTTTGTATGACATCCAGTTGTGTAATGTGCAGGTAGCCGATGCCTGAAACAAAATCTGGGGAAGACTGAAGATGAAAGGTAAACAAAAATAGGATTAATCTTTAGGAATACTGGCGAACAGGGCACAATAGATTTAACAGAATAACGTAGAATGGAGAGCGACTCGAGGTAATGTACCATTAGGATTGCTGGATGACAACAAGGTTTCTTGGGTTGCGCTAATTCGCAATAACAGTATAACAGGTTACAGTTAGAACGAATGAAGAAATGTCGGACACAGCCTGCAAGAGTTAGATAAAATAAGTAGTCACATTAGTGAGTATCAGGAACGTAATAAATTATATAATGCTTGTCAACTGTTTTTATTCTTGTTGTTACACAATCAGATTCAAGTTGGATAAACTTGACAGTTTGAGGGGTTTTAATTATTGTTCCTGGGAGGGTTTATTCACATTATACAACTAGAGGGTTGGGACCACTGATCAGAGTTCGCCAGCTACCCACGTATAGATGACCTCAATCCAAGTTTTCGGCTTCGGACCAGGATTAGACTCTGAGTTCTTTGGGGGGAGGGGGCGGGATCGTGGTGCGGGCAGACAGACGGTCGAGGAATTAAGGAAATTGCGGAATCGAATTCATATCATGATTAAAATCGCGAATCTTTGTAATCTTGAATGGTATTCTTTCCTGTTCGGCAAGTATGCGGGTTCAATACTTGTTGCGGCCGTATTCCATATAACGGAATTTAAAACTTAAAATAGAGCATATTTTTGGTTTCTCATCAACCGGAAAGGAGAAGTCTTGGAGGAAGAATAATAAAAAGCAAATCAATCATTTATAAACGAATAGTAGAATCTATTTGCTGTAATTGAAGTTAGTTCGTGAAGTGGTATCCTTCCTTCGAGAGAAATATGTTCAAACGGTGCATTGACAACATTAATCTGATAACTCTTCCAGTTGACTTTTAAAACCACCAGGTTTCCTCAATTAGAAGGCAGTTACTATGCACAATTCATGGCCAAACTAATAGAAGATCCAAACAGGCAATAAGTTTGAGTATCTGCGCGATAATTCACCTCGGTGGCTCCTCCATTCTGGCTGAACAGCATCAAAAATATTCATTTATCTCAAGGCATGTCTACTATGCTACAACTATAGTTGAAGCAAACATGGACAATTTAAGTAGATACACTCTGATAGCACAAACATTTTCAGAATATATTTTTCATCCCAAAATTCTTACTTTCTCGGTGGCTTTGTCTTTTATGGTTTTCTGCTTCCGTACTCGGAAAAGATACCATTTTTATTGATCCTTTTGTAAGTGGTTTCTTCATCCTCTGCGTTTTTTGGATTAAAAGACGTTTCTGGGGACCTAATTTAATTTGTTTTTGTTTTTGTCCTGAGCCGGTTTTCTGCTGGTTCGTTGATTTTTCCAGTTGGTGGTAGGCAGCTCTGCTGTTGTCCGGTTCAATAACACGCCTAACCTATCGGGGCCTTATGTGGTACGCCAGTCCAAGTCCCGGGGCTTAGGTTGCCGATTTCAATCACTGAACGGCAGGTCCTCGAGACTATCGGGTTGACTCCGTCTGTCGTTCATCACACCTAGGTGTGTAATTAAAAAAATCCATTTAGACGGTCTAAAAGTAAGAAGAAGTAGAATACTGATAGCAGTAGCAAAACAAGATATAGAATACGGTTGCACAGAAGCTGAGTGGATCCATGGAGCGTACTGTTTCCGAAAATCGGCCACGTGAGTAGGATGAATTTAATTTGGAACAGATTTCATTCTGTTTGAAAAACATTCACCTCAAAAAGGTATTTGAGCATGGCATGACATCGGTGTCTGCATCTCTCTTTTTAGGTCGGTTAGGACTCCCGATCAGATTTTATTTCGATCACCTAAACACAAGTCTGACAAGGGCCAGAGTACAAATGGATGTCATGCGTGCGCTATGGCCTGTGAGTTCCCCGGGTTCGCGATCCTCATTTGGGTCGATTGATTCACGTTGGGCGTAAAACCGGAAAAGGTTTGACTTACGTGAACAGGGCTTCCGAAAATTTCCACTCCCATTCCTTACACTCTGTACACAGCTGCATTTAAAATGCCGATTGTCTTCTGAAACGGTTGAGATTTGAAGAGAAAAGCTGATTGCGCACATAACTTCAACAAAATCCTCTGTCTGTTTCTAATATTCCGGAATAGCAAGATACGGAGAACAACCGAGGATTATAAGAATTAAACGAGGCCATTTGAAGTAGTATTCTGCGTATTTATTATTACTATTGGTTGGTGTAGAAAAATCAGGAGGGGCAGAATAGTCGGATAGAAAAACTTCATACGCGCAAAATGGATTCATTCAGTTTGCAGATAAATATGATTGTTCGCAAGCGTTCATATACAAAGGAACTATGACAGAACGTTGAGAGATCGAGAAAAAGAACACATTTAAAGTCGGAATTCAAACGATGCATAATGGGTTGGTTGAAATTAATGAAAATACTGTTTCCACCTGCTCTCCATTCTCTCGTGTTAAATCAATTCTCAGGATCTTTTACTTTGGAGGTAATAGGCATGTTTGAGTGTACACACGCATTTCGTTGTGATTTATCATGTAAAACGAAAGAAGTTAATCTGCAAGATGTTGAATAAATGCAATTTTTAAGCTAAATGTATTTTAACAAATAATCTGCGTTGATCGTTTGCTGCCAACTGTTTCATAATGCATTTTGATCAAGGTTCAAATTCTAGATTAAAAAAGCAAGTAAAGTAGGGTATTATTTTGGGAACATTTGTCTAAGGCTTTGGGATCCAAAATATGCTGAAAGATAAAGGTAGTTTATCCAAATATCTAAAACAGTTTTCTCTTTATCTATCTACAGGTAAACCGTGTTTGATTGAGGGACCACCAGCAACTCAGACTTTTATCGCCACTCCACCCGTTGGCCTGATGGAATTCACAACTGAAAATCACCTATCCGGTTTATACTTAGCCAAGACGAAAAAGCTATCCCAACTGGTTCCAGCAGAACGCTCCTACCCCCGTGTTGTGCTGACGTGCAATTTTGTGAGCAATAGTAAACTATCAGTTCAGTGGATGTATCGATCGCAGTCGACTACGAGCAACAAATGGATGGCTTTGCAACCAGTTGGGCCATCCAGTGCCGTTTCCCTTCCTTCCGGATACGCGTTGGAGACACATGCCAATCTATTGCCTGAGGTCAACCTGTGGCATATCCGAGCCATGTTGACTATTCCACAAACTGGACCTTCCAGTATTGAATTGGATCCAGGCAGTACGTGCACATTTAAACACGCAAGCGATCTGTTACAACGAGAAGCCATAGATGCCAATTATGCTTGTGTGGCCTCGAACCCCTATGGAGTGACTCAAAAACAATCTCAGGTCACAGTGGTGTGTAAGTTCCAGCGGGGTGGGTTTGTCCGATGTCATTCATGGTGGTTTACATTTATCCAATCGAAAAACAGAGCTAAACTGAGTCAAAATGTACACACAATATCGTGTGTTTTCCATGTCTTAGTTGAATTCGGATTTATGAGTTCCTATCATATCCTATCATAAAACTATATCACGCATATTAAATCTATTTTAGTAACGCTCTCCGTTCAAAAAACAAAACGTTCTAGCGTATTCGTCTGGTAGATCTTGAAAAGTTACCAAATAACCGAAAACTGGGACACAACCGTATGTCAGATCTGTGAAATGAGAATGTGAATTGTTGCCTATATGAGTTCTAGTGTGAACAGCCCAACGCAGAGCCACAAAACTATTCCAAACAAAGGACAGCAGTTTGGATCCTAATTATAACAGAGCGAACTCGGGTTCACAATGTATCGCAAAAATATTGTTTAAGGCGGGATTGTACACATAGACAGTGTTACCAGGTCAAAAATGCAGTATTTTCGGTAGAGTTCGAAATTCCCCGAGGTTTCGAACACGGCCACTAACTTTTCTGAAAACAGGATTCCTAATCTTATAAGTCGGAGGGAACAGTTTAAAGGAATGCTATGCTGATGAACTGGACAATTTGGTTGATGATCAAATACAAGCAAACAATAAACCAATAAAAAAGAAAATGAAGAACTTCAGATAAAATAACCTTAGCCAAACCGTGGAATCAAACACGATGATTGCTCTTCAGGCGGGCATAAAGTAATATTATATGTTTCACAAGCGTCTGATTTAGGACTTTGCTAACATCTTGATAGAATAACTTTCATAACAAAGAAAATGTTCATGATTTACTAGTGAGCGAATTACATCTGGTTTGTGTAGTCCAAAACATATGAATTTTTCTTCAGAAATTTTCTATTAAAGCAATCGGCTAGATCATATGCCCTTTGGATGGGGTCAAACGTCCAGGGCACCTCAAGGCCCAATCAAACGGGTGACTACTGTTAGAAACAGGAAGCTGTGTGCGGTCTGAATGCATCGACTTGGTTGTTTTGAAATCAAAGATTTTTACTAAGTCAACTAAGTGAAATATCACTGGATTACCAGCCTAGTTTTGCCCCTTATCTTGGCTTCTCATCTTTTCACTTTGGAGGAGTAACACTTTTCCTAATGGAAGGAGGTGAATTGGGCTTCCTCAATAGAGGCTATTAGCGACATATAATTTTATGGAAGCACTTTGTGGGTTGCAAGAGACGCTGAACCAGTTACAATTCATGACATCTGTCCCCGACCAAAGTGAGGTTTACGGAGGACATAAAAATGCGGAAAACGCCAAATATTCAGAGCGAAATTGAAACCGGGCATCCAACACGTGTGTGGCAAAGTTTTGATTATTAACACTCACCGCGAATTTGTCAAACGAAACAAAGAAATAGTCTCCGAGCATTTAGAGTGTGATAATGTCGTTGAGGACCCTGAACAAATTATTCGGATAAAGGGATACATTATAAAAGACAATAAATCACCAATTCAGCATAGATACCTAACGCGCACAAATATGTATCGATACATAAAAAGACATCTCTACTGAGAATATTGTTTTGTTTTCATTACAACATTTTCAGCTAGTTACGGTTTCGTTTGCCTCTTAACTTGTTAACCTTCGCTATTCCACGTTCACGATCTATTTGCAGCGCTTCTATGGTGTACGTTTGACTGACTGAACTAAAAGCGATGAATTTAGCTCAGGAGAATTTTTCGTTTTCGTTTTTCCTTCATTCCCAAATAGTTTAGAGATCACAGGTGCAACCATGGGAACTGATTGCACAATTAGACATAGTTAGCACAAAGCACCGACAGAGTTTGCCACGGTTATCTTGATTTTGTCATTTGATTTGCAACCTCGGGGTGACTGAGAATTGGAGCGTATCTGAATGAAAACTTTTGTGAGCAGTAAGGCGTCAATTTCTTACCCCTACCACATGGGCCATTACTAGCGCGTGAACGTGAAAACCATTGCGTTTATTGGAAACAGGGAACAGGATAAAAAGCGGAATACGGACTAACGTACCGCCTGGTTCCCACCAAGAGCCGTAGCATTGTGCTGCTTTTGATTGTGATTGTTATAGATTTAACCAATTCGGATAGATTGTTCTCTTGCTGTATAAGCGACCTAAGCTGGTAATATCAATCAAATGACAAAATCGAGTTGACCGTGACTAACTCTTCCCATGATTGAGCCTAACTGTGTCCAAGTGTGAGATCTGTTCGTAAGCGTTGCCTATGGAATATGTAAACAGCTTGACATTGAATCAATGAATAATAATTGTTTTGCCACACTCTATTGTTGAAAATGCTGTGGTGGGTACCTTTCAGACATAAAAGCGACCAGCTGCCATCCGAATTTGGTTATTCAACCAAGATTGAGCCAAATTTGAAAGAAACTTCGGCATCAGATATAGTTTTATTCCAATTTGAGAAGAAATGAAAGTAAACGATTAATCATACATGCATAATAACTTCCCATTCCATCCCTACTGATCATCAAAAGACTATTCTAGCATGAAATGTGTTATAAATCAAATCGCTAATCGTTGCTATTCGGTGATTTGAGCATCCGTTCGTGTTTACCTCTTTCGTGATAATAATCAGCTGCAATTGTCAGTGACCCCTAGTAGTTCAATGGTTCAGTTAAGAGAAAAGAAAACCAATGTCAGCGTTTTCTTGGCTTTGTAAAAGTTTTAATGCTTTCCAACGGTGAAAGGATCGGAGTTGATATGGTGTAACGACCAACACGCGATTGTCTTGGTCCGAGCTACATCGGTTTGATCAAAATATTCTTCGCTCGTTGTGGATAGCGATGATCGACTCTCAGGGTAATGCGTAGCCCAAATTTATCGATAACTAATTGGATATAACAATACCTTACGGCAGTTGTGGCCAAGTGGTTAGGTCACCAACTAGTGATCTGGGTGTCCCGGGTCCAAAGTGCTCCACCACAGCCCGTCTTCCCTGTATCTGTATTTTCCCCAGGCAGCCTTTGTATGGGCGCAGCCCCCTTCCTGAAAGTTATTTGTACATTTGTATATTCAATAAATAGAAAAGAAGGAATTAAAAAGATATTTCTTTTTTCACTATTTTGGCAGTAATCACAAATACATAAAGCAGCATATATCTGACAATCATCCTAAATCATCATCCGGCCAAAATGTAATGAATGGGAAAATATCTGTGGTACAAAAAAGAAATAAATAGCAAACTGTGTACATGCGATGGAAATGTTTGGGGTAATCAACAAAGAGCACCTGACAGCTATTTCGTCCAGTTTGGGACTCGTCAGCCCGGCGTACTTTTGTGTACCTGTCAGGACTCGAACAGCAATTCTTCGGACTGGAACTTCAAACCCTCAATTTACAGTCAAAACAAGTGCACTATGACGGACAGCAATGGTTAGCCCAACAAAGAGCGTTCAATCAAAACAAAGCAGTAGCACTCAGTCCCATTTAAGCGTCCACACAAAGCCCTTTAACTGTCCAATCAGTAAAGAGGCTCTATGATTAAAAGATGAAATATGAATTTCAGAACAGAAAATTCCCCAGAGTATAAACCATTACCCGAAAGAACGACCGCAGACTAGCAAAGAGCCCGTGAGAAAACGCAGAGAAATCGCGAGGGATTTTCAGTATCATTCAATGTTACAATAGTGCTCAGCTGGGGCAAGGTTTGCTGTGCACATGCATGGATGAGCTTGTGTGTGAGCTCAACCAACGCCCGACAGTGGTCGCGGTCAATACACAATTAGAAATAAGTTTCATTGACGTATTTTTCCTCGTACATGTTGTACCTAGCGCAATGATTGAGCAATACACGTCACAAAAACTAGAAAATATTATACATTTATCAAAACTTTTCTTTCCTCTCTCTGGCGCGCATTTTCGCAATCACAGANNNNCTGGGCTGCCAAGACCAGTATGTTGCCGTCCCGGCCCAGGAAACGAGTCAACTAGTTGGTCCGATTATTTGTTTATTCTCATCCAGACCTCCGGTGGAACAAGTAATTTGGTGGCAATATCAGGACAACCACTGGAAGAAAATCTATCAGTCAAAGACGTTTAGAAACCCCATTGAGTT